TGGTAACTGTCTTTCTCCCAAGTCCCGATCCCCAGGATGCTATCCTCTGTCCCATTATCATCTGCCCTATTCCCCCATCAGGTGCCAATCAGGCTAGATAGACAGCTGTCGAACAAACCGTCTGTCGAGCTCGTGAACCGCTAATTGGACTCTGGCATCTTTGGACGACCTGACTTGATGATGTGCGCCAGGATATGACGGGATGCAGAAGGGATGCAGAAGGGATGTGCTGGGGGCTGCACTGCTGCGAGCTGCGTGCGCCGGTGTGGATGGCCCAAGGCCCTGTCCAATATCCCGTTGATTTGTTGTGTCTCAAACACCACTCTGCCCACTCTGGGACTGGATCGAGATGACACGCTGCCTTGGCGGAGGCCATGAGGGGACTGCAGCGGTAGCGGTACATAGGCACATGGGATTTCCGACTGTTTCAGCAGCCCATCGCAACTTCCAACAAGTTTGTATCCTCGATGTAAATGGCGTGGTGTTGGCCCATGTCGTCATGTCAACGAAAGCGCGGGTCTGGACGCGACAGGCATTCTCACGCTAACCGTCTGTCTCTTTCCGCGCTTGGGTTTTTGAACATGCAGCGGAAGGAGGTACAACGCTACAAAGCGACATGGGGAACCCGATGGTGCTTGATTGGCTCCACTTGAGCTCGGTTCTAGCCTTTCCCGTCCTCCTCCTTCCTTCCTTCCTCCCTCCCCATCCTTGCTCCTTCCCTGCCATTATCCATTGACCAACCAACAGAAAGACGACGGGAGGCAGGAGCCTAAGCCGGGAAAGAAACATGTCTCTGCCTCCCGCTGAACGATGGCCGCTGTTCAGTTTTTCACCGATGATTTGCTCAACGTCTCACCAGTTCTAGAGATTATTCCCTATGCATTCTCATCCTTTCCGCAAAATGTAACCGTCCTCCCAACCAGATGCATCCGAAGCATCCCAAGAGCTGCGCGAGGGCTGCAACATCAGCATGCTCTCTGCGTTTCAATCACACTCACACACTCACTCAACCCCGGCCACACTCGATGATTTCTCCTCCACAGCCACAGAACGTCTAGGCCTTTACAATCTGGCATCCCTCAATACTTGCTCAATTCGCCAAATACGCCACACTCCCCATTCATCAAACAATACGCGCCAAGGCCGGGATCATCACGGCATTCGGAATAAACTGATGCAAGGATCTGGCAGGTGCCGCGTCCCAGGACTCCAGTCTCCAGGCTCTCTCCAATGCTCCATCAACCTAACCTAACCCGACCTTGAACCCATGGCATTCTGCATTCTGCATTGCCAATCATTGGCACATTGGCAACGGCATCGCAACCCGTTCAAGCCTTGCTCAGACGACATCGCCCAACGATCACCTCCCCTTCTGTCACTTTATTGCTGTCAAATGCTCCCAATTCGTCACGCGGTGGATGCCGCTACGGGCCACTGACACGTAATCGCCTAGTCTAGACGTGTTCAAGCCCTGTCGAGTCCAGGTTTGTCAATGACAAGTCTGTGAGCTCTCAGGTGCTTGTCCAGCTGTCCCCCATCTCCCCATCTCACTTCTATCAAGATCTGGTCTCTTGTCATCATTTTCTTTTGGCATCCACGCATCTCATTGATGCGCGCCATCTTCTTCTTCCCTAGTGGCCTACCTAGCACGCTACACATGGCATAGCGTCTTCCTCTATCTTTTTTCTTCATACTTCTCCTTCTCCTTCTTAGAATCGCGATCGACCGGCAAACAGTCAAACACACACCACCCACCAGCGGCCAGCCCCCAAAAAAGCACCAGCCTGCAATCCATGACGTCAAGGCCCGGTCATTAGTGCGATGCACCTCACGGATACCTCAGCTCCCTGTGACGCCATTCTTCTGTCTTTCGGTACGCCACTGCATCACCAAACCATGAACTCATTTCCTTTGGCCTGCAATCTCCCTTCTAACGTTCGAGCGGCCCGAAGCCTCTACATTACGGCCGCTTTGCTTTTGTCTGCCCTGTTCCAAGGTTCATGAACTGTCACCAGACTCAGGATTTGGCATCAAGTGAAGCAATCTTTTACAGACCACCACATCTCCATTGCCATCCCTGTCATTACCCCCATTTTGATTTACGCGGCTGATGGCCCCACGAACTCACAAGGATACCTTGCCAAGCCTTATTTATTCTCAATGTGATGGATGCATGGGCCCCGGAGCACCTCCTCCTAACAGCCGTCCCCCGAGATCTACTTCGATCTCATTCATCTGACTACACTGATGTGGCGCAGTATTTCTCACACAGTGTGAGGCTATCTACACCCTTGCTCCGCATCACTTTGCATGTCGGTCTGATAGAACCTCTTGCATGATTGTCAGAATGTTGGTTTGTCTATGAACTTCTACCCTATCCACGCCTTCTGTCCACGCAAGACTTGACCTACCTTTCCCTATGAGACTGGCCAACGAGCTGGGAATGGACACGCTCAATCCAATCTATACTTCTCTGCCGCATCATCTCCTCGCAGGCTATCTTCAATGCTTGGAAAGAGGCATCGACCCCTCCTTGAAAATTCATCACGGGTTCTAGTGATTCGGAGACATGTCTCTTCGCCCATTCCTGCAATGTCAGTAGTACTCGCTCTGTACGAATGGGCAAAGCCTCAAGCACATTCACCTGCATGGGATCAATGGCATCAGTCACTCCGTGGAGTTGCATCGCCCAATCCAATGCCACGGGCAGGTTTCGCAGCGGCGCTGGTATCAAGACCGCATCCTCCCAACCCATGATGCTTGCCAATTTCCGGTTTCCGTTGAAGAGAATGTTACCTGGGTGAGGATCAGGATGGACTAAACTCACAGGCCAGCCATCCACGCTGCCACCAGTACTTTCGACTTGAATCGGATTGGGGACACTGAACCTAACACGGCTTGTCATTGCCCGGGCTATCTCTCGCAACTTCCCTATACGCACTTTGATTTCGGGATGGCTTCTGAATTCGGGCTCCCAGACCGAAGTGTAGGCATCAATGTAATCTTCGATGTATCTGAAAGGCCCGTTGTTCCGCACTTGCCAGTATCTGTCACGGCTGTAGAAGTGAGGGTGGACTATCGGTCCGGTGAAGAACTCTTTCTTTGACCAATCGATGCGAAGACTCCCGATGCTCACCTGGTTCTTGGGGATGGTCGGTAGAGAGCTCTGCAACTTCGAAAGAACCAGCTGCACTTCCCTCGCAATGGCCTTCGTGTCCTCGTCGCTCAGGGACGGCATCGTCTCGGGCGATATGTCCCCGAACCCTTCCAACCCGGTATCCTGCTTAGCCATGTTTAGGTCGTGCGCCGCGAGGATGTAGTTCTCCTCGAAGGCACTGAGCAAAGGGAATCCGGTACGCACCTCCATAATCATCCACTCCAACCCGAGCGGGTTCCTCCCGATGGAGTCAAACACGAGGATCTGAGGAACCACGGCCGGGGATACTTGCCTAGCAAACACCATCGCCGCAACCTCGGCTTCGAGCTTCTCGTGGGGACACACAGGCAGGCTGAGCTTGAGGATGACCTGTCGCGGGAGCGGCGGCGACTTACCCTGGCCGACGGGCCTGGAAGTGGGCTCGAACTCGACAAAGTAGAACGCGTTTGTCGCGCCGCAGCTCATCCGCGTGACGGTGCCGATGAAGGGGAACTCGTAGACGTCACGTTGGGTATACCACTCCAGCATCTTCGAGACGTGCTCGCCCGTCGGGATACAGGCGCCCTTCCAGCGGGCGTCGTACTCTCCGCCCGGACGCGCCGTCCACCGGACAAACTTATCGCGGATGTGCTTCACGGACCCCGGGTTCGTGGATCGTCCGCCGCCTAGCGGGGCCATGGGATCCGGGTCCGGGATGCGGTATGGGAGGTGGGGGATCGGTCTGTTTCTGCCGCTGCCGCCGGCGCCGCGGCGGGATAGGCTTCGGATGACGGGGACTATGCTTGAGGAGGATTCGTTCTGGGGAGGGCGGAAGGAGGGAGAGGAAGGGGGGCCGCGGTCTGTCAGGTCTTTGAGACCTGTTGCGAGGCGGTTGGAGACGCGTCGGAGGAGCGGGGGAGGGGTTGTGTTGAAGAAGGATCGAGGGGGTTCTTCGGGGGAGGAAGGGGGGCTGTCGGTGATGGATGCTTTTACCTTGCGGGTGAGCTTTTTGAGTTGGTCCATTGTGATATAAGTGTTTTATGTGAAGAGTATCCAGCGGCCTGGCTGTGCTTACTGCAGTGTGAACTTGAGGCGCAATAGAGGATTTGGAATGAGAGGACGATTTGTGTTTGGCATGATAATTCTGTGCGTCTAAGTCTCAATTTTATCTACCTTGATATCGTACTAATGACTTTCTCCCGATGGCGGAATGAACTAAGGAGGTGAGTGTTTGCTGTTTTCCTCTCTTTGCAAGTATGTTGCCGAGCAGTTTGCTTGCCACAGATCTCATTGAATCTGTCAAAGAAGCCAAAGTGAGAATAATTGGGACGATGGACAGCACATCAAAGTAATTGAACCAGGGACAATGGGATTATACAATCCTTTCTCAATGCGGAGCAAAAGCTGTCCATTATTCCGAGTGGTAAATATCTCAACATCACAAAGAAACCTCTCTGACAAAGCTCTCAGAAACAAACGTCCCGACTAAGCTCGCCTATCAGGCTCACGTAGAGATCCGCGTGCGACTCTCCGCCTGGAGCATACACACTAGATGATCCCGGCTTTCCACGCGGGTTCGGCGCTTCTGAGCCGCCCAAGCCGCCTTGCTCGACGCTCGAGGACGTGATGATCTCCTCACCGTGGGTGTGAAACTTGGCTCCCAGGACGGCTCCATCACAGCCCGTTTGATGGCGAGCCGCACATCTCGTCCTCGACCCTTCTCATCCAGCCCCTGTTTCTTCCGGCCCGATGCCCTCAGGTGGACCTCCAACCGCTTCGAGAACGCGACAGCGCGGATCTGGCACTCGAGGCTTCCCTCTCGGAAGATCTCTATCGCCGTGTTGAGAAGGCCGAATGCCACTGCCTAACTGGCCTCCACGGAATCCCCGTCGCGCGCGTGGCTTGCTGCCTCTAGGTGGTGCGCCGTCAGCAGTTCCGTCGCGAAATCAAAGGCTCGAGTCGTGACGGTCGTTTTCAGGCGGCCCGTAGTTGCCTTGCTCAGGCTGATATCTCGGGTGATCCTGCAGAGCTCGTCTGCCCGCTGTATGACGTCCGGGGCGTAGTTCTTCTTCGCAGACACGGTGCGCAGATAGTCCAGCTGCAACGAGATATCCTTTCCGATAGCGCCCACGGAGCCGAGGATTCCCTGGACAGGAGCTTTTCATCCGCAGATTCGAGAACGTGTTTCTGCGGCGTGAACCGGCCCGGCCAGTGCCGCACGCAGTGGGTCGTCATGTTCAGCACGATAGCGTGGTCGCCGCCCAGCAGGCTGGCGAGCACGTGGATGGCCTTCCAGTACGCCAGGCCAAGCGTGACCTTGAGGTCGAGCGGCTCCGACTCGACGACGCCGATCAGCGACGCTGTGAAGACAGTGACGGCGTGGTGCGCGCCGACCGCGGGGGATCTCGTAAGGTGGGCGCCGAGGTTGTGAAGGAAGAGGCGCAGGCAGAGGTAGTCTTTCCGGCCTCCGATGCGGACTTGGAAGAGGGCGATGCAGATTTTCCAGAAGTAGACGAGGAAATCTGGGGCGCAGATCTGTACCATTTGCTTTGTCAATGCCAGGACGTTGCCGAATACTGACCGGAGTTCGCTGAATTGCGATGTCTCTGCGAGGGTCGCCATGCCGCGGCACTTTTCGACGAGAGGTTCCCAGTCTTGTGAGGTTGGTGGACGACGTGTCGTCAACGCATGTTCTGTACGGCCGCTACTGTTTGGTGCGATGAAGGAGATGGGTCGTATTGGGTCGACTGTCCAGCTTTTCTTGCCCGCGGCGAGAAGACCTTTGACGAGCTGATCTAGCGCGTGGAACATCCTCTCCTGGTGGAGATAGGTAGCGGGGGATAGTTCCCGTATTCTCTCGACTTCGGCTTGTCGTCTTGTGGTATTCAGAGAGACAAATGGAAACTGTGCAAAAGGGGAGGTGGAGTTTGGTCCCAAGGACATCAATGCCGATGCAGTACGTCGGCGCGTCGAGACGCCCTCCTGTTGGTGCTGCTGGCTGACGTTATTTTTTGAGAATTCCGGCCAGTCTTTGAGTCGTCTCTCGATTGTAGACTTCCTGATGGGGTTTGGTAAGCAACTCGTTTTTGCATGGAGGGGACTGAGCAACGTACCCGATCTCGATATTGTGGATAGCAGCCAATTCAAAGACTACTTCATCCAGGGTGTGATTCTCCTTGATGTAGAGGCGATTGAGATGATCTTTTCGAAGCTCATCCCATTTAGTATCAGAGTGGGATACCTTCTTCGCGCTGCGAATTGTCTTTCGGCTTGCTGGCCGTTGAGATTTAGGTAGTGGAGTGACATTGTTTAGAATCGCTTGGTCTTCGCATATTGTCGTTGGCTCAACGTAGCTCATCTGCCGAGTATCTGATGGCCCAGCGAAAGATACCGAAGTTCCTGGAAATAACATCATGGCATTCGATGCTGAACATTGTTCATGGAAGGTGGTCGACCCGCTACTTTCATGTAAACCAACGTTGATGGCAGAGGAGTCATCGAGCATCATGAAAGCAGAATAATCCATTTCGACTTCTTGAGGAATCATTTCTGGTGAACCCCAAGCGTATGGATTGTCATGGTGCCGAGGAATAATCATGTCTGTTACATGATCAGCGGTCTTTACATTGAGATCAGATAACCCCATGGCACCGATGTCGCTCTCAAAGTTTGCGTTGGAGAGGAGCATGTGGTTGGCAGACGCTTCCAAGTTAGCAGGTAGATAACCCTCAGCATAGTTGCCGGACTGTAGAGGTGTTTCTGAGAAGACAGTCCCATTCTGCGAGGGAATTGAGAGAACATGGTCCGCATAGCCCCATGAATGGTGTTGGATGAGCTGATTCTCAAGTGCTTGGTAATAATGTTCCGAAGCCATTTCATGAGCCTCCGGTGGCTTGTCACACGGCAAGGAGGTTTGGAACGAGTCACTCGGTGCCTAATCCATGGTCATCAAGTGTAACGTAGCAAAAAGATGCAGACCTCACACGAGGCCAAGAACGAAGAGTGATGCAATTCTAGGTTGCCAGAGCATTGAAATGGAGGAAAACAGAGTGCGTTGGGTCCTTTTGTGTGTAACGGTGCAAGCAGTCAGAAAACCTGTCCGCCATAACAGCCTCATTTTTGGCAAGCTTTGGTGGGGTTGGTTCGTCGAGATGCCCGCTGTGCTTTTGAGATGATTGGATCGTTCCTAAACCCTCATATGCAAGCCGGTTTCCTGCGTGTGGGCGCGGGCGCACGATGCGCCGCCCAGCAGGAAACGGCTGGTATTCATTGGATCGATCTTAAACCCTCTTGCAATAGGTGCATACCATCCCCACCTTTGTGAGACCAACGTGGCTATCGCGGTTGCCCTTCGGCTGTACCTGAGTATTCTTCTCGCGCTCCCTGTCGAGAGCCTAGATCATAGAACAGTCACATGAATCAACGCAGTGAGTAAACTCATCGCCATGTCGATAACGAGGTCAAGCCACACTAAGAAGTCATCTATAAAAGGGGGTTGTTGAGCAGTCCTCTCCATGAATAACAATATAATCTTCACTCTCATTCTTCCTACATCATACAACTCATCCATCTACATCAGTCTTTCGTAAAAGTCATGACCAAGGCATCTAGATCTCGGAGAAAGCCTGTTTCCAGGGGTAAGCCGGCATTCACAGGAAAGATCCCAACACGCACACCTCCAATGGTACAGAACAGCTCGATGGTTCCTCGCCAAGCAACTCAGCCATCGACAAAGATTCCTTCGTCAGTCCCCATGAGTCAAGCCTACGAAAAAGACGCCATGGTCATATGGTCAAAATGCGCGCATGGGGTCAAACAGAAAGATGCCTTGGTGATTGCTGTGGTCCATCCCAAGCAGGAACAGCATATGAAGGACAGTAGACAGAGCATGTCTAGCTCGAGACGCGGTAAGAGACACCCTCCTTCACGATACTTGCGAAATTTTCGAGGTAGACTTCGTATCATTAACTCACTTGCCCATTGTGCATCCAGCTCGACGCATCTTCATCTGCGGACCAAGCGCACTCCAAGATACCATTGAGAAAGAGGTCAACAACAAACGTCGCTCCCAATTCACACAACTTCACATCGTCGTCAGCTCTGCCATCGAATCAATCTACTATCAGGTCACCTCCGTCATCGAGGAGTTCACCGTTCGAATCTACGGCGCCATTCGGGGGAACATACCATGCAAACTTCTCGTCGACGAGAAATCGACATTCTGTGACTCGCCTGTCCATCGCTGGGGTTACGATAGGGTCGGCAGCCATGTCTATCTGCCCGACCCCGGTATTTATTACCCGGCTCTGAAGGCCATTGCCGATTTAATGCAGAGTGCTCTGAACACTGTGTGCTTCAGAGGGAATACCGCAGTAACAGTTGAAGAAGAGGAGAAACTCGCGAAGATCGAAAGGAAAATGTCAGAGTTCCAGAAGTCCTCAGGCACGTCTGTCTCAGCAGAGAGTTCAACCCTCGCGGTGGTCGTGGCGGACTCGACACGTTGAAGGCATTATTTGCTGCCATCATAGGACTGGCAGCTACGACCGTCGAAGCAGGTGGTGTCGTTTGGGCCAACATGAGCGGCGTGTTCATCTCTGGACCCCTGGGATTCTTTCTAGCAACCGGCCATTTCAGTGCTGGTGTTGCTGGGGCGGCTTGTTGCGCCGGCGTGGGCCTCGGAGCAGCAGCAGCTGGGTCTACGTATTTGATTGATTGGGCACAACTGTGGAGGTGGCTCAGGGCCAAGCTTGCATGGGCTTGGGAGAAGATAGGTGTGTTTTGTTCCTGGGTGTGGGAGAAGATCAAGTCTGCGGCATGCGCCGTGGGTTCTGCGATATATGAGTTGGGTGTGTGGCTGGCTTCGTGGTTTTGAATATTGGATTGCTGCTCAACACGTTCTTTTACCCTGCCCATGTCAACGATTTCTTTGTAGTTCAGATCTGACCGAGTCGCTCATTACCTTCCATACACCATTCCAGAAGTCTCAAGTAAAACATATCTACCGATCCGCAGCTGCAGAGAACCGCGTCTGATCCTATCATTTATGTGAGAAAAGCTAAGGTTGCTTAGCGAGTAGATGGAGAGAGGTCTTCCTCGGCATCCGGCCACATGCATTTGCACGGTCCTCCGGCTGACTAACCCCACTTCCCCGGATCTCCCGCCCGCTCTTCCCCAAAATCCCCGAACGTCTCTCGTCTCAGCCTCATTATCACTCATTCAACTCACTCCGTACTCACTCCATACTCACCATAATAATTTCACGTAGCATTCAACGATCTTACCACTCATCTCACAACTGTCATTTACTCAAACCCCAAACCTCACACATACAACCAAATGTCACAACCCTCAATTACCCCCCTCACAACCCTCCTCACCACCCTCGCAACGCCCCTCCTCCTCTGGGCAGCCTACCGCGACTACCGCGCCTACATCGCCCTCGGCCCCGGCGGCGTCCCGCACAATGCCCTAGGCTGGCTCCTCGTCACCCTCGGCCTCCGCCCCTTTGCCCTCTCCAAAAGCTCAGCCACCTGGACGGGCGATTACCCAGACCACGGATCCCACGCCGAGATCCGGGATCTACCTGAGAGAAAGGGGGAGAGGGCGGAGTTGGGCGGGATCGTGCCGCATCGGCAGTTGAGTCAGCATGCGCCGGAGAAGATGAGAGGGGTGAGTACCATGTCATCATGCCCGGAACATGAAAATTGTCCCACTCTCTCAGAGATGAGCTTCATTAAGGTATGAACGAATCTACTGACATTGTTTTAGTTCATCGAAAACCTCTTCGCCAACGCGGTAACCCAAAACCCCTCCCTCCTAACCACAAAGCTCTCCCTCTACGAACGAAACAACCCAGCCCTCTTCCTCCACCCCCAAATCCTCTCCTCTCTCTCATCTTCATCCTCATCCACCCCCGTCATAGCCCGCGGCGAAATAGCCCACCACCACACAGACTTCTCTATCCACCTCTACCTCTCCCCCGCCGACGCCAAACTAGCCATCCAAAAACGCTGGGCCGAGCGTCACCGCCTCTCCCTACCCAAGGGCTCGTTCCTGGCAAACAGGTTGCATTTGGCGGATTCGTATCTCATGGTCTACGGCCCTCGGGATGAAGAAGAGATGGAGGTGTTGGCGGAGTTGCTGAGGTGTGGGGTGCGGTTCATGACGGGGAAGGAGGATGTTGGGGTGATTGAGTGGCGGGGGAAGATTAACGCGTGATGTATCACGTTTCCAATAAAGAGGGCTTAGTTGGAACTGTTTTCGACAGTAAGATGCCATTCAATGATTGTATTAATAATGTGTCTATCATCCCAATTGGCGCAATCATGCCAACACCCTGTAGATAGGGTACTCATCCCCAGCCTCAACAGGAACGATGTTAAAACTAGCGTACGAATCAACATTCTCCGGCTCGAGAGCCATAAACGCAAGAGCAGCATTCTTCTGCCTTGTGCTTACAAGGAAGCTGCCAGCAGGCAGATTCACCTCCTTGGTTAGCGCCTCCGTCGTCACAGTAGCGCGCACAACGCCCTCGTAGTACTCCGTCTCAAACACGGCTGACGTGATGTCATACGCCTCCACAGTGCCGACATACGGCTCGCTCAGTGTCTCGACCTCGAGACCAGATACACGCAGGCGCTCGGCGAGATCGGCCCATGCGACGGGGATGAGGTAGGCTTCGGGGCGGGCGCGGGTGATGTTGGCCGTCACGGGCGTGGTGGAGCGAAAGTTGATGGGCACGTCGGTGACGGAGCCGTTGTTGATATTGACCATTTTAAACGTGCGCTGGACGAGCGGCGAGGAGTCTGTGACGATGATCTCCGAGGTGGAAAAGGCAAAGTCGGCGATGGAGGACTCGATGGTCGTGTAGACCTTCTCGGCGTTGTCGGCGGCGGTTTGGATGATGCTCGAGGCCATGGTCAGGCCGGCTACGGTGCGGCGCTGGAATTCCTGGTCCGCGAGGAAGATGCCGCGCATCTCGATGAGGAAAGTGACGCACTGCGTAAGGCCCATGGCGTTGCGACCAATCTTTGCATCCGAGCCGGCCTCGGCGAAGGTGGGCTTGAAAGCCGGGTTGGTGCTTGTGGAGCCGGTCACGTACGGCTCCCAGCGAAGGCCTCGGGCCTCCATGGCCGACCCAATGTTCTTGGCAAAGACCTCCTCGGACAGCGTGCGAATGTCCGGGTGGATGTTGAGGTTCTTGGCGGCAGAGAAGAGGCCGTCGGCGGCATGGTAGTAGCTTCCGTAGCGGGCAGTCGCGCTGTACTCGTGCATGTCGATAGCGACGTGGGGAGCAAACTCGCCAAAGAGGGTCTTGATGTCGCGGGTTTGCTTGCGGGCGAGCTTGACGTGATCGCGGTTGGGATCATAGTTGGTGGCCAGAGTGCGCTGAAAGTAGCCAACACCATCCGGGTTGTACCGAGGCAGGATGACGATGTCGAGCTTCTCTAGGAGCGACGCGGCCCATGTCTGGTTCGCGTCTAGGGCCCCGAGGAGAGCCAAAAGCGACTGATCGCCGGCTGGTTCGTTTCCGTGCACAGCGCCTTGGACCCAAACCCGGACCTTGCCAGTCGAGTTTGAAACTCTACGAGACAGCTTTGTCGAAGACAGATGAAGGTAAGGAAACGGGCGGCCTTCCTCCGAGGTGAAGTTGGCTTTGTTGTAAGTCATCCAGTCGTTCTTGTCGGCCAAGTCTTGAACAAAAGAGTCTTTGGAACTGTTAGCCACCGGTCAGACAAAGCTGCTCGTGGAAAGCTCACCAAGAAGGTTGTCATCTGTCGGGCCCTGCGTGCCATCAGAGAAGCCTGCAGGAATGGTTTCCGGGGTCAAGAATGCAGGCGACAGCAGATCGACGCCCTCGATATCCTTGAAGTTGGCGGCGACGATGTCCGTGTCCTTTCGCACAGTTACGTGGTTGTATCCATACTTGGCCGCCTGGACAGATGAGAGTAGGGACAAGCCAAACAGGCTTAGGCGAGATGCAGCGACCATTGTGTAGGACAACGTGAGTTGTGAGAAGCCGATCAGTACCAAAACGAAGCAAAACCGTGACAGATTTGCTCCAAAGCAGGGCGGCTTCGTCCCTTTTGACAGCCCTCTTATTCTCGCAAGGCACCAAAGTCGCGATGGGGCAACGTAGCATCACGCAGCGCAAAATGGCTCGTCAACGCGTGGAGCGGGACGGTTCCTGACATGACCGTTGGCTTGGCTGATCTCATTCCGGAGTCGATGGTCAATAATTCAACCAATGTCGGAGGAATTGCCGATGCTGACCGGCAGTGGGATACTGAAAAGCATCAAGGCTCTCATTGTAGGTCCGATTTGAATTAGTGTGAGCATTGGCAACGAAACTGGATGAGGCAGCTCAGTAGAAAAGATGAGGGGAAAGCGGGGGAATCCCCGTGGGTGCAGATAACGGTGGGCAGTGGCCATGTCGCCAAGACTTTGGGCCCCCCGTAGCGAGATATGCTTTCTGCCATTGACGTATAGAATCACTCCGAAAGACTGCAATGGGTCCACGGGTTCATGTTGAGTTGCCGATGTTCGGGTTGGAGGCTCTCTAAACCTCGTTCGCCAAGAACACGGCCGTGTAGTTTGTTGATCAATAGATACGCATTTGTCCAACTCCGCGGACAATGGCCGAGTACCGGAGCGGCTTTGACTCAGAAAGAATTAACTTTCTTCGATAACAAGGTACTTAGGAGCGGCTTCGTCCCGACATTGACGATTGAATAATAGTCCATGAAGGTGACTCGCGGTGTCGATGATCATTGCAATAATCCCATGTCAAGAGGCCGACGGGTACTGTATACTTTGCTCGGCAGCGTGAGAAAGGTCACATTTATGTTTAACGTGCCGTCAGAGGTAAGACACTGACGAGACCTCTAGATGGTAATAACGGATTACAACGCGGCCTTCCCGCGCGACTCAAACGGTAATATAAGCACCAAAAGCCCAGCTGCGATGAAGAGCGCGCCGCTGGTGTAGACGGGAGCCGATGTCTTTAGATTGGCGAACATAGCGACAATGGGCTGCGGGTTTTGTGTCAGCATTAATTTCCCAGTCTTTGCACAAAGCACTTACAGCCATGATCCCGAAGATGCGGTTGCAGGTCGCCGTGAGCGCGTTGCCGGTGCCGCGCTGCGGAGTGGGGAAGAGCTCCGGGGTAAAGCCGTAGAGCACCGCGTACATGACGTTGCTGCAAAAGTTAAAGGCGCAATTCCAGCCAAGCAGCGCATTGCTAGTCATAGCCGTCGTCGAGCAGTACAGAAAGACCCCGGTTGCAACGGTGCTGATGGCAAGGGTGCCTTTGCGTCCCAGCGCAGGCAGCTCAACCAGCCACCCACCCAGCAGTGCTCCGGGCACGCCCAGCACCGCGATGATCAGACTATTGCGATACGTCAAATAGGTGCTGCCATCTCCCAGTTCCGCTCCACGGGTGGCCTGGATGTAGGGTATGAAGGCGTTGTAGAGAGGATACCCTAGACCGATCAGCGCCCAGATGGCCATGATTGTGCCGGTACTCAGAGCCAGCCGGTGAGTAGAGAAAAGCACGCGGATCCGGCTAAGATCAAGCTTCTCCAGATTTCGTTTGACTGCTGTGGCAGCATCGGTGCGCGCGACGTATCCTTCGGGCTCGCACGCCTTCAGATCCTCTATCGACAAAGACGTGAGCTTCCCGTTTCGCCTTGCAACTTCGTGAACGATTCGGACGGCATCTTCGTCGCGGCCTTTACCCATGAGATACTTGGGCGACTCGTAGATGGTAAAGAGGACGAATCGAATCAAGAACATGATCAGAGTTAGGCCGCCGATGGTGATCAAGAAGTATCGCCAACCCATGTTGTTGGCTTTGGTGCAAGTCGCGCCTTCTTGGCAGGTGAGGTTGCCGAGGAGTGGCCACGCGATGAGAGTGGCAATGACTTGGGCGATGGCCCAGTCAATGGAAAGGACTGTCAATAGGTATTGATGGGTTCCTGGGAGAAACTCGAGGAAGATGGCCGAATCAACAGGGAGATTGCCCCCGACGCCGAACGACCAGAAGGCCGCGAAGATGCCGATGCCTGCGAAGCTGGGCGCGCCGGCAGCGGCCATCCCCCAGAGGGCAGTCAGACCGAGGGTCAGATTGAAAGCCACTTTCCTCCCAAACAAGTCGCAGCCAAAGCCCCAGAACATGGCACCTGCCAGAAGGCCGATGTTTTGCGATAGTGTAAGCAGAGGCGGACGAGAAGGACCGAATTCGTTGGTGATCGGAGTGAAGATGAGCGACGTGACTATCGGCCAAAGGTTGTCGCTTGCCCATCCGAATCCGACGACGATGAAGAGCTGCCACTGGTACCAGCCCATACCGATGTCTTGAATCTGGAATCAGAAGTCAGCGGTCATGTGCTCTGATCTTGAAGTTATTCCCAGACGGCAACGTACAGCGCGATTGAGCACACGGGCTTTAGCCTCGTAGACAGGGTCTAGAGCACCTTTGGGAATGATGGCAGCATCGTCAATGCCATGGATGTCAATGCTGCCATCGTGGGCTGCACCAGAATGTGAGTCGACCTTTTGCGCCGTGTCAAGCTTCCGCGTGGGATCTGTATCGGTGCCCATCTCGATGTGATTCTATCTGTCTTTCGAACAAAGGGACTGCAAAAAGACGCGGAAGACAACCTGTCTGAGGCAATCTTGACGTCCTTCCAAATGAGCAAAGAGTCTTGAAGGTTTCAGGGCTTGACTGTGGAGAGCCGAGACCAGCCATATGAACAGAACGCGGTCGCCACACTTTGTAGGTTTTGGGTGTTACGGCTCGAGGTATTCAGACGGCGGCAGCTCCCACGTCGCACTCAGCTCGAATGGCGCAATCCGTCCGGTGAAGCGTCTCTGCGGTCTTGATTGGCTTTGCTGACCAAACGGCAGTCGGAACGCATGCCGATCCGCACTTTGTTCCAGTGTTTGACTACAGCTTTGCTACGGTGGAGGGGGACCGAACGATCCTGGTGGGTTTAACGTGTGGGGGATCTGCTCGTAACCCGGCAGGCTGCGCATTGTCTCGTCCGGTTCGAGCTGACCGTACCTTATTTGTTGGTTGCATCCCTGAGCCGAGCTTGGGGAGAGACATGCCTCGTGCGTCATCGACATTGCTTGATGGAGAGAGCGCACCCTCATGTTCGACGGCATCGCGCGGAAGATGAATAGGTATGTTGTATTTCTGACACGCCGAGTATAGAGCTCCGCAAGGCCGATCATTGGCGTGAAGCTTCAATGCCAACGGTGCAAGTCTGGTAGCACATAAACAGCTGAGAGGCTTAAAGTTTGGCTTCAAAGACGGAGGAAGGATGGGATGTTTCGGCCCACAGCGGATGTTAGCGGGCTGGCGGGGAAGGCGATCAATGGCGACGCTAAAACAAGTCACGACCATATCAGCCCTGGCAGCTGGCTATATCTCACCCCAGTCGGCAGCAGCTGGCAGGTTATGTCTACGTACCTCACTCTCTTCCCCGCGCCCTCCTGTGCTCTCCTCTGTGAAGGCCCTAGACATGGGATGATCGTGAAAGGAACCTCCCCTTTTGCGCCAAGAAACTGGCCCATGCATCGCAAGTCAGAGAAGCCGACGTCTGGTCTTTTCTTGGTAAGGCCGAGCCATGTCGAGAATCACTGCATGCCTCTTGACTGTGTTCTTCGTCTTCGCCACTATTTCGTCAGCAAAGAAGAACCTCATAGTCGACACCGACCTATTCAGCGATTGCGAGTAAGTCTGTAATGCTCATGTCCGCCTGGACTTATTCCAGTCCTCTCTAATACACCCCAGCGATGCCGCGGCTCTTCTCCTCGCCGCCACATCTCCAGAAGTCAACCTCCTAGGAGTTAATATCAACTCCCAATCCTCATATTCAGTGCTAGCAGCTTCGGCGATTCTCAACCATTATGATCACGCTGACGTACCCGTCGGTGCCCGGCGACCGCTTAACGATGTCCCATTCTTCGACAGCTGGGCCAAGCGGGCCGGCGAATTCGCGAGCAAGCTAGCGACGTATTGGTCGAAAAGAATCTCCGACGCCGAGGAAGCCTGGGACCCCGTCGACCTCTACCGCAAGCTACTCTCCGAAGCAGAAGATGACTCTGTCACGATAGCCTCCATCGGCTTCCTGCACAACCTCTCCGGCCTCCTCAACTCCACGGCAGATGCCCGGTCCCCGCTTTCCGGCCCCGAATTAGTCGAGACCAAGGTCAAGGAGCTCGTCGTCATGGGCGGGGACTACCCAAACGGATTTGAATTCAACTTTTGGGGCGATGACCCCTATCAGACAGCACATGTAATCCACAACTGGACAACTCCCATTGTCTACGCCGGTTTCAAGCTCGGGGGCTCAGTTCGCTCAGGCGGTCCTCTCATGGCGCACGGACCCAAGACTGACCCTGTACGGGCGGCGTATATACTCTACACGTATTACCAGCCGCAGTGGTCTTTCGATCCCGTTGCGATGCTTTATGCTGTGGGGGGACTCGGCGAGTATTTCAAGTTTGGTAACGAGTACGGATACAATACTGTCACTCTATATGGAGAAGGCAAGTGTAACGGTTGTAATGTCTGGGTGTACGACAAGAACGTTACGAGTCAGCACTGGCTTGAAATTACAGTCAGCCCCGACAAGCTCGGCGAGGAGCTGGATAGACAGTATTTGCAGGGAGCACGGTCTTCCAAGAGATCTTCCGACCCTATTGGAATTCTCCCCAAGTTTGGTGATTGCAGAGTCGAGCAAGCTCAGGAGCCACCAGAAAGAGTGGAGTTATGAGGCTTGATGCCGCTGAATGGCAGGTCACCCCGGGTTATCAATATAACTATTTACGTATATCAGACTTCGCTGTGTTCTAGATTCATGAAACACGGCCAGAAAACTATGGTTTCCACGGGGAACTTGCATCAAGAGTCTGTTTCACTCACCGTGTGTGGAATTCTAAGATTGGTCCCCGTGGTCACACCTGCTTATATCAGGGTTATCTAGTCATCATGGAACAAACTCGGGGTGCTTCTTTACATTTCTCTCTCGGTGAAAGTATTTTGGTTGAGAGGACTCAAGACACTCATTGAGGAGAACAAAGATGCCTAAAGCTATTGAAACCCGAAATCAACAACCAAAAATTCAAACTCTAGATTGTGAACAGACGCTGTCTCTTTTTGCAGAATTGCAGTTTTTTTTACCACATCTAGCGGCGGGGTCGCCGCCATCAACAAGAATGTTTGTCAACTTTTCGGAAGTCTATCCATTTGCGTAGGGGTTCGGAGACAAGGCTAACAACTACGCCTTCTGAGATACCAGACAAATTCCTGAAATTAATTGGAAATCTGATTGAGTAAAGGCATCAGTTGATTAGAGTAAGACTCTCATCAGAGATGTAGAACACAGGTGTGAATAACCAAGGCTGTTTGGGTTCGTTTGAGAGTTGACAATATCTTTTTGGCTGGTTATGACAGTTGTCAGTGCAGGTATCAAGTATGGCAACATTTGCTGCTTGCAGTCCGGGTTTCCTAACTGCATTGAAGGTTGGGCTGGTAGTCTACTACCGCGAAGCTACCCAGGATACTGTCAGGTTATCGTATCGTCATCACTCCACCTCAGGTCGCGCATGCGGATCTCCCCCATCGTCAAAAGTGCCCGGTCGTCTCGGCCCAAGCCAGCCAAATTCTTCCTCTAATTATCACATGGAATCTTTCAACACCTGAAATGAGAGTCTTTGGCTCTGTTAATATAACTTGCCGCAGCCTCACTGATTTCATTGGTCTCAAACACGATTGCTGAGGCAAACGAAGGTTTGTTAATTCATCTCAAGCCTGTACGGAAAAGCGCTCTATCATTGTATCTTACAGAAACACAAAGAGTACGGTCTCCATTAAGCAGCAGTAGCAATCTTGACAATGAGACTAGCTAGTTACTAGCCATTTATTTGTCCTTGGGCGAGGAAAAGACAGAATCCCTGCCAGATCTCATCCCACCTCAGCTGGCACATCAGAACCTAAAGCGGGTTATTCTCGCAAAGGATCCTGCATGGCTCCTGGCTTGAATTCTGTACCAATGAGATCATGCGCAAAAGTCCCTCCAGGAAACCCATAGGTGGCTGGAATGATTTTGCCGGTGCGTCTACCCGGTATTACATCTTGAGAATGGACTCAGACGATGCAAGTCTCCATCTTTCCTGGGCCGAAAGAGAGCGCCGGGCTTCTGGTTAGTCATTAAGCCTGGTTTAAAAACTTTGTGATGGAAGTCGAGCTGATTGCCTCTGCAAAGCCTACTTATAGGCTGTGGTGTGAGGCGAATTCATGAATGGTTACTTGGCAAGTGTCAAGTACCTCGTTTATAGTTGAATCCCTAGTGACGAAGTTGATCTCTTGAGCGGGAGCATAAGTGAATTGAAGCACCAATTTCCATAAGATACATTTCTCCTTCCCAACTTGCTTTGTACCACAATTGACGCGGAACTCAAGAGGATGGGAGTCATGTCGTCTCACACGATGACAAAAGCTTGCAGCTGTGCCGCCATAACCGCGAGGAGGCTTGACTACAAGCTTGAGCAGAACGAAGAACCCCAGTATTCGTGACCAGCAAGGGCTTGCCTCGGTCGTGGCAGACACCATGGGCTACTGAACCAGGGCATTGGCCCGAGAATCCGGCCACACAAGACGCCTGATTCAGAGCGGACAATGGCCCATCCCACCATCTAAGTACCAGCCGTTTGCTCGGCATCGGGCCAAGTCACCTCATGGGGGTTCTCTGGATGTGAACGACAGCACAGTCGCAAGTCCGGCAGCCCTAGGAATCGAGACTGAGGCGGGGCGGTGGCGGAATTTTCAAGGGCGTGATGGCTGACAAGACTTTTAGGGTACGATGAAGAACGGCTAGGGAGGGACTATCGATATTGCTGGAGCGGAGCTGGATGGGTTGTGAGTACTTGATTCCGGATATCCCGCCGGATGGTGTCGGATCACGCTGGTTCTTTGCGCGGCGCGCCGAAGCTGTTGCCACCCATCTCCATCAATGAGAGTTCGAATTTGTAGGAAGAAAAGTAGGCTACGGTTGGAAAATTCCAGTTTTTCGCGAGGCTCCGGCTTGCTTGATTTCCGGACTGTGAATGCAATTACTCTGTAACAGGATTTGCTGTGCTCTGATTGAAACTTCACCGCAGCCGAGCAAGTTGACATGGCGGCTTTGTGTAAGTAATCGTTCAAAGACCGAACGAACAATTCACATGCTAACCGAACTCACAAATCGCAAACCCGCGCCGATCCTCCGCGGGAACAAGCCAAAGTAACCGTTCAGGTACGGATACTGCATCGTGTCCATCAGAAAACTGGGGAGAATCCGGAAAGACAGAACCGAACGCGATCCAGCCCGCTCTTCAGAGTTGTTTGACTAACGGTCCCAGTCTCACAGACCAGCCAGACAACGAAAAAGTCTGCCCAATTTCCGGTCTCGCTGAGAATCTGTTAGACAGTCGTGGAGAAAGGCAGGGTCTCATGCCACCGGGCTATCGCCGACGTTGCGGCGATGGGGCCTTCGGAGGCCGAGTTTAATTCTTGGACGAACTCGGATTCGTTCGTCTGTAACCCAGTTCCTCGAAAGCGGGTGATCGCCAAGACCGACCACCCTAGACGGGCTGCCACCTCGTGCGGACAACCGTTGCCTCTTTCACGACACCCATCAGTGATACTCACACACTGAAAAGAGCTTGCCGTTGTCAAGAAGCCGGGGCAAATACGAGAGCCGCCGAGGGAACGAAAACCCAGCTAGCACCGTGGCACCTTACCCAGCGATAGAGACGCTGGGCCCTTAGTGCCCGTTGGTCGTTCTGGAAGTGGATGCCGGTCCCACGGCGCCGAGAGGGCACTAGTGATGCGAAGAGGATGTATTTGGCCAATGAGGAGATGGGTGCCCATCTTATCAGATGATCAGATAATATGAAGCCATGTCCGCTCGTAGTGGAGCCATCTACACCCAACCTGGCCCACGCTCACCCATCTTTCCGCCCCTGGCGAACTTTTGAGTCTCTTTGCCAGGTTCCAACCAACTAAATAACCCAGAGAGGAACAAAGTCCAAACAACGTTGCGGGGCTTCTGAGCGCCTTGGGCCCAGTGCGATCCCATCAGATAACTCTCTCGGGTGGGCCAACCACACGAGCTGTGGGCCGCTACAGTCAGGCACACCGCACGCCATGGACCAGGGCACATCGTCGCGATCAAAATGCCAGGGTTGTTGGCCCCCGGTTTCGTCGGCTCAGCGCGACCTTGGCGGATGAGCCCGCCGGCTGGCCGTTACCTTACGTTTTTGGTGTTTTGGTTCTCCTCGGCATGGAAAGCGGTTGGCTGGGGCTCGGCGCCCAGGTGTTGGGTTAGATCCGTAGTAGAAGATCACAAAGAGCGAGAAACAAGAATTGGCGCAGGCATATATTGAGGGCCGCATATCCCGCTACTTGAGTTTTTTTCTTTTCTCTCTCCCAAGTCACTCCCCCATCACAAGTTTCTTCGCAAACCTTGTGATCCTTCGAGCCTCGAGCCTTGCTCTCTGAGACCAGACCTCCCCCTTCTCAGACAACTCGTCAAGTTGAGCTTCATTTCCAGAAGGTTCTCATCACCTTCAAGATGGTCTCTGCCAAGTCAGTCGCTTTGTTCGGCAGCATGCTGCTGGGCAACGTCATGGGCGCCGACAACATGGGCCCGGCCGCTTTCCTCTGGTAAGCATATCTTCTCCACTGCATCTTGCAGGCTTCAACAAAGATCGGCAGCTAACCAGAATACCATCAGGCCCCCAGACCGTGAGTGGTCTGCCGACGCCGACAACACGGCCCCTTGCGGATCCACCAACGGCCCCGGTGTCCGCACCGAGTTCCCTCTCGGTAAGTCGACATATCCTGCGGAGACTCGGGCAACTCTAACATCGAACCAACGTAGTGAACGGCAAGCTTGCCCTTGTGACCCAGGACATTACCCGCTCCGTCCACCTCAGTGTCTCCTACGAGAACGGTACGTGCAAATACAACGCCCTTCTTTCTTCCACCCTTCGCCCTGGAAACATATACCTAACATCCACCACACAAACAGACCCCAAGTCCGTCTCCGACTTCGAGACCTTCCTCGGCCCCAGCGAGGTCGGCAGCCTCGACCTCGGCCACACCTGCGTGACGGTCCCCAGCGCGCCCTCAGGAACCGCCGCCGGTTCCAACGCGACCTACCGCATGCTCTACGTCTCCAACTTTGACCAGGACGAGTCCAAGCGCGAAACCTACTACGCCTGCGCCGACGTCACCTTCGTCGAGGTTTTTGCCGCCTCCATCCCCTGCTTCAACGCCACCGTCAGCGACCCCGACGTCGACGTCGACACCACCGTCAACGTCACCACCACCGACTCGGGCGGCAACACCCCGCACACCGCTGCCGACTTCACCGCCACCGGCGAATCCAAGAGCTCCGGTCTCTCCAAGGGCGCCATCGCTGGTGCCGCTGTCGGTTCCATTGCCGGTGTCTCTCTGCTCGCCCTTGCTGGATTCTTCTTCTGGCGCAAGAAGGCTGCCAAGAAGGAGGCTGTTACTGAGCCCATGCAGCAGCGCTGGGATGCCGAGAAGGCTGTCAGTGACACTTCTTCCGTCAACAGCCGTCCCCAGCACTAAGCTTGCCCCAACCCGACTTCAGCGCATGGCGTTGCCTTTGATGGCAGGGTCAACTATGCGCCTCACATAATCATGGAACGAGAGATGATATGATTGACGTATATCATGAAGTAGCAAGAATAAAGGTAGAGATCCCGCTTAATATCTCGCTCTTAATCAACATGTGTCCCTGAATTCGATGCCGATGGTCGTGTTGAAGAAAACAAAAGTGATGTCTTCCTGTTTTGCTGATGCATGTTCTTGATGCAATTAGGCGAGGTTTCTCACTGGACGAGTGCCCCGCACTACCACCCGCTCTGATGCATCCACCTCCAGGCAGCATCCCCAAGGCAACCGCTCCACCGTTGAACTTCAACGGCCTCAGGTAAGCCGCAATTGAAGGGTATAAGTCCTCAAGGCCCTTAATGTGACGGGGTCCGTTGCGATGCCACCCAGCTATTCCATGCACAATCAACTGGTTATATTCAATTCCGCCTGATAACGTCTACCACGCAAACTTTCCCACTGAATCATCACCAATTCTCCGTCGCCAACGGCTCCCAATTTCCTTGCCAGTTCACGCAGTGAATTGCCCATCATGAGCCAGCGCAAGCGACAAAAGTCGCCAGACGCGGCAGCGATTGATGAGGAAGAGAGGCAGTATGCTATCGGGGGAACCACACTCGAAGAATTGGACGAGAAGTGAGTCTTCTTTCTACCCTTCCTTGGCCTGGGAGCTGACACGGCCCTGCAGGTACCCAAATCGCCCGCGCAATCATTCAAAAACGATGCGCTTTTCGGAACTCTTCCAAAGCCTCTTCAATCCTTTGAACGAGAACAAGAAGCAACCAGTCGGTCGCGGCCCACCTCGCAGCAAAAAGGGACCCCACGGACCACACAAGCTATCGCCGCAGGAACAGAGACGGCACCTCATTGAGCGCTTTATTTCCAGATGGCGAAACGAGGTGGGAAACGACATCTACCCGGCTTTGCGACTCATCCTGCCCGACAAGGATCGGGATCGCGGCGTCTACGGCTTGAAGGAGAATGCTATTGGCAAACTCCTCGTCAAGCTTATGAAGATCGACAAGAACTCGGAAGACGGCCACAACCTCCTTCACTGGAAGTTGCCGGGTCAGACTAACTTCTCTAGACTAGCTGGCGACTTTGCGGGCCGGTGCTTCGAGGTCCTCTCTAAGCGGCCGATGCGGACAGAGGTCGGCGACATGACCATTGCCGAGGTCAATGAGTTGCTGGATAAACTCGCTGCGTCGACGGGAGAGCTGGAGAACCTGGAGGTCTTTGAAATCTTCTACGAGCGCATGAATGCAGAAGAACTTATGTGGTTGATCCGCATCGTGCTCAAGCAGATGAAGGTCGGCGCGACCGAGCGGACCTTTCTCGATCTGTGGCATCCGGATGGCGAAGCCCTGTTTAGCGTGTCGTCGAGTCTGCGACGCGTTTGCTGGGAGCTTTTTGACCCGAGGATACGTCTGGAGCAGGAGGATACGGGTGTCACCCTTATGGAATGTTTCCAGCCCCAGCTGGCACAGTTCCAGATGCCATCTTCCTTCCAGAAGATGGTCGATTACCTCCGGACTACAGAGGAGGATCCCGAGTTCTGGATCGAGGAAAAGCTAGACGGTGAGCGCATGCAGATGCACATGGCCGAAGACCCGAGCGTTCCGGGAGGGCTGCGATTCTGCTTCTGGTCTCGCAAGGCGAAAGATTACACCTACCTCTACGGTAACGGATTGAAAGACGAGAAGGGAGCTCTGACTCGCCATCTGGCGAATGCTTTTTCCGAAGGAGTCCGCAACGCCATTCTAGATGGAGAGATGATTACTTGGGACCCGGAAGTCGACAAGATCATGCCGTTCGGCACCCTCAAAACAGCCGCTCTAGCCGAGCAGAATAACCCCTACAACAACACAGGGCCGCGACCGCTTTACCGCATCTTTGACATCCTCCTACTGAACGATCAGCCTCTGACCCAGTACACGCTGCGGGATCGTCACCGTGCCCTAGAAAAGGCTGTGAAGGGTGTTCATAGGAGACTGGAGATCCACGAGTACGAGTCTGCGACGACACCCGAGGCCATCGAGCCGCTCCTCCGCAAGGTCGTCGCCGAGGCATCAGAGGGCTTGGTCCTCAAGAATCCGAGGTCAATGTACAGACTCAACAGCCGCAATGACGACTGGTTGAAAGTCAAGCCGGAGTACATGTCTGAGTTCGGAGAGTCGTTGGATTGTGTCGTTATTGGCGGCTACTACGGCTCCGGACACAGGGGTGGCGCCATCTCCAGCTTCTTGTGCGGTCTGCGTGTTAGCGAAAACCATATCCACGCTGGTGCAAACCCCGAGAAATGCTTCAGTTTCTTCAAAGTCGGCGGCGGCTTCACAGCTGCCGACTATGCGGAGATCAGGCATCGGACGGACGGGAAATGGACCACATGGGACCCGAAAAAGCCCCCCGTGGAATACATCGAGCTCGCCGGCGGCGACCGTCAGTTCGAAAGGCCGGATGTATGGATCCGACCCAGCGACTCTGTCGTCGTGGAGGCCAAGGCTGCGAGCATCGGCAACTCGGACCAGTTCTCCCTCGGCTTCACCTTGCGATTCCCCCGCTTCCGCAAGCTGAGGACTGACAAGAACTGGGACGAGGGCCTTAGCGTGCAAGAGTTCCTGGACCTACGGCGACGCGTGGAGGCAGAGGCCAAAGAAAAGACCATGAGCGTCGAGAACCGCAAACGCAAGTCAGTAAAGCGCGTCAAGCGCGAGGTCGTCATCGCCGGGACAGAGAACATGCCTGCGCAGTTCCAGGCAGATAAGTCCAAGATATTCGAGGGCCTCGAGTTCTGCGTCCTGTCGGAGTCGCTCAAGCCGTTCAAGAAGACCAAGGCACAGCTTGAGACCCTTATCAAGGAAAACGGCGGCCAGGTCTCGCAGCGGGCTGTCCCGCAGTCTGGTATGATTCTATTGGCGGACAAGAACGTCGTCAAGGTAGCGAGTCTGGTCAAGGAGGGGCAAAAGGGCAGCGGCGTCGACATCATCAGGCCAAAGTGGATTCAAGACTGTCTCGAACAGGCTGATGAATCTCTGCTGCTTCCCTACGAAGAGCGACACTTATTGCATGCGACGGAAGCTCTCAGAACTATTGCACTGCAGAACACGGATATGTATGGGGACAGCTACGCCCGCGACATCAGTCTTGTTGAGCTGCGCGAAGTTCTCAATATGATGCCGAAGAAAGAACCCGATACGGAGCCTTTTAACAAGACGCAATTTCTCAATCAGCTTGAGGAGCGTGGACGCGGGGTAGGCCCAATGAAGGGATCAATGTTTCATCGTTGCGCCGTTCACCTGGTCAACGTTCAAGAAGAATGTGATGAGGACGAGATCAAGATGTTGAAGCTTAGGAACTATCTGACCTTTGGCGGCGCACGCTTGATCAGCGATGCCGAAGACACGGAGACTACGCACGTGGTTGTGGTAGGAGACGGCAGCCGGCGGAAAGACGCGGCCGCTGCTATGCGGGAGGAAGTCAGTCATAGGCGTAAGGTTCCACACATCGTGACTGCGGAATGGGTTGAAGATTGCTGGCGAGAAAAGACGTTGCTGGACGAGGAGAAGTATACGCGAGTATGAGAGAAATGACGGTATTGGGTCCGACGATGGATGAATTGCTTGTTATACCCAGGATAGATGACACTTTAGTATCAATCCCAGCATACAGAAACCTGTCTATGAGGTGCCATTCATGACCAATCTATGAGGTGATTTGATATCCAAGGCTAGATGAGCAAGCCCAATCACACCCTCGCCGTCATCCTACCCGTCTCAGGTAGCAGCAATCCGGCCCCCTTTTTCATTTATTTTCCAATAGTAAGGAACAACCGATCACCAACATCACCTACACCGGGCTTTAGCATGCCCTTGTCCGTCAACTCGGCGTCCACGCCAGCAATGTAAATGTCCGTCGCGTCGGCCCACTCGCTCGCGGCGCGCTTGACGCCCTCGGCGGCGCCAATGACGGAGAGGACGACGATGCGCTTGACGCCCCACTCACGGAGGGTCTGGATGGCGGCGGCGCAGGTGCCGCCGGTGGCGATGACGGGGTCAAGGACGATGGCGAGCTCGGAGGCGCCGGCGTTGGAGCCGTCGGGGGAAACGTGGTTGGGGAGGTTGTTGTAGTATTCTACGGGCTCGAGGGTCGAGGGTTCGCGGTAGAGGCCTAGGTGATGGACTGCTACGGGCGTGGGGAGGATGGTTTGGACGGCTGTTGTTGATATGTTAGTTCTGAGCTTCAGGTTGAACAATAGATGTCTGGTATTGGAGGGGTAGTTACCTTCTACCATGCCGAGGCCTGATCGCAGAATGGGGACGAGGCAGAGGCTGGAGGGGGAGATTGTGGTTGATGTGAAGTCGAATCCTAGCGGGGTAGAATCCTGGGCGAGGAGTGTCAGTCCTGGTGCTTAATTGTAACACGAAATAGCTTTGGAAGAAGGGATAATTACCTTTGATCCATCTGTCGCTTTTGTGGAGGCGCCGAGGGCCTCGTATGCTACCATCAACGCAATATCATGCACCAGCGTCTTCACCTCTTTCGCCGGCGTCGACTGGGACCGCAATTGGGACAGCTTCGCCCGGAGACAGGGGTGCTGGGAGACGTGCACGTTGGCAGGGAGCTCGGGTGTTGAGGAAGACATGGTGTAAATGGGGGTATGTAAAAACGTAAGTATGGAATTAGACACAAATACGCTGAAGCATTGAACGGTGACCAGATGAAATAAAGTAAAGGAGGAATTGTCAAATTTAAGGAAAATGAGGTTTGGGAGTTTACCGTCGATATCGACGAGAGAGGTTGGTGGGGAGGCCGGAGCGAGCCACTGAGACCAGCAGGCAGTAGGAGGAGGAGGGGTCCCTTCCTTGTCCTCCTGATCAGCGCCGGTACCTTGAGTGGGTCCTGCATGCGGAGGGAAGCTCTGGATAAGATAAGCCCTTGAAGGTCCGACGCCCAAC